ACAGGCGCCAGGGTGGATTTTTCCTCTCCTCCCCCGCTTTCCCTCCCTCCCTCTCTCTCTGCCCCGGAGCGCCTCTCTCTTCATATCTTTCTCATGGGGGCAATAGCTAGGAGAGAGGGGGAACACAAAGGAAGGCAGAAAATGGGTGTGTGCGTGTGTGCGTGTGTGTGTGCGTGTGTGGAGGGGGAGGAGGACAGAAACAGGGGAGGGAGTCTTCCTTCAAGTGCGTGTAAGCGTGCACGTCGTCGCCACCATCGTTGCCGCCGTCGTCGGTGGCAGCAGCAGCAGCAGCAGCAGCAGCAGCAGCAGCAATATTAAGCGAGACTCAGGTCGGCCAAACCCGGCAGCGGGGACTCCGCGGCGCCGGCGGCGCCGCTGGCCGTCGGCAGGCTGGAGGGCGAGCGAACCGGCGTGGCCGGGGCCTCACCCGGGCTCAGGGCGTCCTCGGCCTCGGACGTCAGCGACGTGGCCGAAGCCGGGGCCAGCATCATGTCCTCGCTGAAGGGGCTGCTGCCGGTGGGGCCGGCATGCTTCCTCGGGATGCCGGCGTCGGTCGGCTGCTCGCCACCGGTGGCGGACATGGCCGGGGTGGTGGTGGTGGTGGTGCTGGCGCTGACGGCGGTGTGGACCACCGGCACCGGCACCGGGGCCGGGGCCACCGCCGCCCCGGCCGGAGGCACTTCCCCGACACCGGGCTCCGCGCCGGCCGGCGGGAGTGGCGCCCGCCCAGGCAACGGCAGCGCCGGGGCCACCCCCGAGCCTGGAGTCCCACCAACGGTGGACACATGTGAAAGGGAGGACGGGATGCCCGGGGGGTTTTGCGACAGGCGGTTTGGCCGGTGCGGGGTCAGCCCCGGCGGCGGGCGGATCCCCGGCAGCAGGGGGTTCATGCCGAGGTCCGAGCCGGGGACACCGGCCGGGCCGCCGCCGCCACCGCCGCCGGCGCCGCCACCCGGCGTCGGCAGGCGCTGGATGCGCATGGCCGGCCGCGGGGTGGTCCCCGGGGCGATGCTCATCGGCGGGGCGATTTCCGACTCGGCCGCATCGTCCAGGTACCCGGTGAAGCGGCTCTTGGAGGAGTGCGGCGTGGCGCGGCTGGTGGACAGGCTACGCGACACCGGGGTCGTGGCCACGGTGACCGAGGCGGTGGGCGGGATGCCCGAAGGGTCCTCCGGCCCGCCGGAGGCGAAGAAGTCCGTCCCGTGGCCGGCGGCCGGGCCGAACTGCTTGCGCCCGGAGTCATCGGTGCCGCCCGGCGTCGAGGGGCAATCGGTGGAGTTACGCCGGAAGAGGCTGCTCGAGGTGGACCCGGAGCGCGTGGGCCGGGGGCTGGCCGGGGCGGTGCCCACCGGCGGCGGCCCAGCCAGGAGCCCATTCACCCGCATGTGGGCCTGCTGGCCGTGGAAGAGTCGCAGCGGGGACCCCTGCACCGTGGAGGGGAGCACCGTGAAGCAGGTGGTGTTGAAGCGACCGCGACTGCGCAGGAGGCGGTTGCGCGGCTGCAGGGCGGCGGCCAGGGGGGGAAAGCGGGTGCAATTAGTCCATGTGGCCATACAGGGAGTGGTGGTGTGGGGGGGGGGGTGGGGGAGGGGGTGAAGCACGGGGAAGCGCAGGACGCAGGGACAGCAGGCGCGAGGAGGTGGGGGCGGGGGAGAGAGAGAGAGAGAGAGAGAGAGGGCAGGAGAGACCACGCACCTTGGACGCATAGTCGAACAGCGGGCTGAAGATGTTGTGCAGCATCAGCCCATAGGTGCCGGTCATGTCCAGGTCGAAGGAGCAGAAGGACTGCCCGATGGCCGACTGGCAGGAGAGCATCTTACGCGACAGGCTCGACCCGAAGGTGTTGATGTCGTAGGCCGGCTGGCCGGCGTAGTCCGGCAGCGAGGCCGCCCCCTTGGCCGAGGTGCGCTTGGCCTCGGAGAAGGTGGGCATGCAGTGCACCCGAATCATGGTCAGGTCGTCGCCGGCCAGGGCATGCTCGATGCGCGAGCGGATCCCATAGGACACCGTGTCGCGCTGGGCATCGATGACCACCACCGCCAGCGAGAAGTACTCCTTCAGGAGGTCCTCCTTGAAGCAGGTGTCCAGGTCCGAGTCGGCCGAGAGGATGACCATGGCCGAGAGGGACTACGCCCGGCAGGAGCAGGATGGTGAAGGGGAGGGAGGGACGGGGGAGAGAGAGAGAGAGAGAGGGGGGGAGGGGGGGAGCAAAAGAGACAAGACGGCGCCGGAGGCACAGCCGCGTGTCAGTATTCCGGGAGGAGCACGCGTCGGGCGAGCGGGGCACACAGATGCACACGGAGGAGGCGCTCCCACATGACAACATACCTGCGAGCGGGTGTCCAGAAGGAAGTTGTCCACCTCGGACAGACGATGCACATGGTACCGGGCCACCCGGTCGTCACACAGGCGGCTGTGGGTGGTGGCCGTGCGGCTGGCATACGGGTGCATGGCGCGCAGGAGCCGCACGAAAATGTCCACCTCGTGCGCCTCGCCGACCATCTGCAGGACGAAGGTGTCCTCGGCGCCGGAGCTCCGGACCCCGGTCGACCGGGAAGACCCGCCCGAGGAGAACATCGTCATGACCGTGGCCACCGAGGAGATGGACGCCTGCGAGGACACCGAGGAGATGGAGTTCGACCGGCGCAGGCTGGTCATCCCGCCGCCAGACAGGGGGGCCATGTGCGGCGGCAGGGCCGCCGCACCGCCGGTACTGGCGAAGGTGCTGTTGATGCTGGTGATGCTGGCCGTGTCGCTGCCACCACCACCACCACCACCGCCGTACATGTCCTCCCCGCCGCCCGGGGACATGGGCACCCCGCCGAAGGTGTTCAAGCTGTCGGTGGACCCGGCCACCAGGGAGGCGCTGCTGGCCGAGGCGCTCACCACGGCCGGGCTGTCCAGGAGCTCCTGGCCCACCATGGCCCCGAGGAAGGACCCGGCCGAGTTGGGGCTGAAGTTGGCCACCACCAGGTCCACCGGGCCGCCGGGGGTCGACTGCAGCAAGTCGAAGCTGAAATCCTTCAAGTCACACAGGCGCTCCATGCGGAAGGACGACTGGGCAATGACCGACCGCTGGAAGGCCATCATCACGGCGTCCGAAAAGAGGAACAACATGCCCCGGCACTTGGTGTGGGTGTTGTCCGAGGGGTCCAGCACATTGACCGCCACCTTGCCCAGCAGCAGGCGCGTGGAGGAAATCAAGGTCGGCGGGCAGTCCAGCACCCGGCGCTGGATGTTGATGGTCTCGGTCATGGCCTTGGTTTCGAAGGTGGACGTGTCAATCATGCGCCCGGCCCGGAGGACCTGCACATAGATGGCCAGCAGCTGGCGGAAGTCCACCGAGTCCAGGTCCCAATGCTGCAGGATGTTGGACACCAGCATGTCGTAGCGAGTCAGCCGCTGGACCGGCTCCATGAGCAGGTCCTTCAGCTGGAGCCGGTCCTCGGTGGAGGCCAGCCCGCCGAGGAAGTCCGCCAGCTGGGGCGAACTCTCGGTGCGCTTGGTCAGCCGCTCGAGCGAGGTGACAATGCTGCTGATGTAGGGCTTGTACTCTTCCAGCCGGTGGGCCAGCCAGGACAAGCAGGACAGGACGGTCGGGGCGGCCGGGCCGGAGGCCGGGTCGGCGACCGGCTGCACCGGCGACCGAGCCACCTCCTCCGGGCTGAAGAGCATTTGCAGGATCTCCCGGGCGCCATGCTCCTCGAAGAAGGCCCGCGTGGCCACCTCGAAGGTTTGCAAGAACCGCCGGTTCAGCTGCACCACCCGGTGCAGGCCGGAAAAGATGAACTGCACGTCGTGGGTGGAAATCAAATCCGGATGGCCCCGGGCAAAGGTCTCCAACCGGGGCAGCGAATGCTCAATGGCATAGGTCACGCGCCGGAGGAAGGACCGCTCGCTGCTCAGGAGCTCGGCCACATTCTGGCAAACGACCTGGATATTTTGCCGGCCCAGCTTCAGCTCCAGGGCCTTGAGGGCCTCGGCCGGCTGGAGGTGCGCCAGGCGCTGGAGGTCCTCCTCGTCCGGGAGCTTCTTCTTCTGGCTGCCGGCGTGGTCTTGCAGGAGGTTCTTCTTGCTGACCAGGGCCGCCGGGGAAAGTTGCAGCTCCGGATTCAGCAGGGTCATGTAGTGCCCGGTGACGGACGGCGAGTCGGCATCCAGGAACACGTCGAAGGAAGACACCCCCCGGTGGAGGTACTCCCGGTCGAGGCGCGAGAAGAGGGCGCACAGCCGGCCGAGGGGCACGCGCACCGCGCGGAAGTTGCTGTCCGCACGCCGGGCCAGCGGCTCCTGCCACACGGCCCCCAGGCGGTGGTGGCGGATGAACTCGCTGAGCATGGTGTTGATGAGGGCCTCGTAGTTGCTGATGCGGAACTTGCTGCCGGAGGATTTGCTCTTCTCGGCCTTGTACAGGTCCGCTCGGATGGGCAGCACCGACCGGCCGCCGGCCGTGCGGATGATGGCGCACATGTCCGCCGGCTCCAGGGTGCACGTTTCCCGCGGCAGGGTCAGACAGAGGAGCCCCAATTCCGCGTCCTTCAGGAAGTAGTGCTGGTGGTTCTTGCAGAAGCCCACATTGTGGCAGGGGGGAACATAGTCGGTGGTGCTGGCCGCGCGCGGCAGGGTGGCCGGCTTGCCGGGGAGGTGGTCATGGACGAAGCCGAGCTTGGCAAGGCGGGACTGTGTGCGGGGGGCGGGGGCGGGGGCGGGGGCGGGGGCGGGGGCGGGGGGACGGCACAGGAGCAGGGCCAGCAGACAGTCAGGAAGCGAGGAAGAGGGGGTGGTTGGGGCAAAAGAGCATGCGAGGGAGAGAGAGAGAGAGAGAGAGAGAGAGAGAGAGAGAGAGGGAGAGAGAGAGAGAGAGAGAGAGAGAGAGAGAGAGAGAAGGAGAGAGAGAGAGAGAGAGAGAGAGAGGGAGAGGAGGGAGAGGGCGCATGGGCAGGGGTGGGACACGCGGCGATGTGACGTACGTTGATATCGGCGAGCGCAGATGCGCTCGTTGGCCCGGACAGGTCGGACATCGACATGGCTGGCACGAGGCTAGAGGGGAGAAAGGGACAACGCAAGCGACTGGGCGGGAGGCAAGCGGAGAAAAAGCAGCAGCGCAACAGGCAGGGGGGGGAGGAGGGGGAGTGGGATGGGGGGCCGGGTCCTGGGCGGGGAACAAGGGGGGGACAAGAAAAAGCTCCCATGCGGGCGGTGCTGTGACCCGCGCCGTGTCTATCGGCCCGGGACCAAACGTGGGAGGGGCACTCTCGTCCAAGGGACAGAGTCAGAGCAAAAGAGGGAGCCAAGCGAGAAAGAGAGAGAGAGAGAGAGAGAGAGAGAGAGGGGGGGGGGATAATCAAAGGCCTCATACCCTGCAGCACTGTGACCCGGGAGTCGCGCCGGTCGATCTGCATGTGGGCGCACGCAGTGGCACTGGGCTGCCGGCGCCAACTCGCCCGCCGCCCCCCCCCCCCGCGCCCGCGCTTCTGGCAGCCCCCCCCCTCCTCAATCACCCCCCCGTCTTCGGACATCGCTGCGGCCTTCCCACCTGCCACCAACCCCCCCTCCTCCCGCCACCCGCCCCCCCCCCCCCCCCCCCCCCCCCCCCCCCCCCCCCCCCCCCCCCCCCCCCCCCCCCCCCCTCCCCCCCGTTGGTCGGCGGCCCCCGCACACATCGGAAAAGGG